TCAGGTAGCTATCATACCCTACTTGTTGCTCCTTAAGCTTCTCATACCTTAACACAGGGTGCTCTGTAAGGAACAATACACCACGCCACTTCGGACAGGGAACCTTGGAATCAGCCAAACTACATAAAACAGGCGGGCAGTAGACTGCTGCAAAACATACAACCTCAGTCACTGGGAAAAGACAATGAAAACACAAGACAAGGTTTTTACTCGCTCACCTACATAGAGGTCACAGAAGTCAAAGAATTGATTTCAAAATCCTGCTGTTAGCACTAAATGGTTTAGGGCCAAAATACATTTCTGATCTTCTGCTTCGTTATGAACCATCCAGACCTCTCAGGTCATCTGGGACAGGTCTGCTTTCTGTCCCCAAAGTCAAAACTAAACAAGGAGAAGCAGCGTTTAGTTATTATGCTCCGTACATCTGGAATAAACTCCCAGATAACTACAGGTCTGCTGAAACTGTCAGTTCTTTTAAATTAAGACTTAAGACTTTTCTTTTTACCATTGCTTTTAATTAAATATGTACACGGTGAGAAATGAGTAGGTAATTGAGTGAAAAGATAATGAGAGTGAGATTGAACAGAGTGAAGGAAGTGGTCTTAAATCTCGCGCCTGAGATTTGCAGGAACCTCTGTCCACCTGTAAACGTGCAGGTAGGTCCAGAGTATAACTGGATCAAAGTGACCTGCGAACAGACATGTCCTGGTTTCTCTGTAGTGTCCGAGGGTTTTTGGAGTTTCAGTGGACCCAAAGATTGCTATGGACCCGAGTACAGACTAGCTAGAGAGAGTAAATTAAGTATACTTCTCTGTTTATTCTCTTTTCAAAATAATTGTAACTCAATTATTTGCTCAACCCCTCAGCCTGTTTTTATTTTCCATTTAACTATTTTGACCCTGATTGTACACTGCACTGTAACTTTTACTGTCCTGTTTTACCCTGTTTTAATGTGTTTAATTTTAGTTTAATATTTTTTCAATTTCCCTATGTTGCTTTAAAACTTTTTTTTCCCTGTTGCTTTTATGTTTTATGTAAAGCACTTTGAATTACCTTGTTGTTGAAATGTGCTATACAAATAAACTTGCCTTCAGGACACCAAGGTAGCATGTACATCAGTATGTACATGCTACAGTTACACATGTTGAGTTTAAAGCCCGATTAATTTAGTCCAAATTCTTAAATTAAAAACACAAATCAAAATAAAGGGATTTCATATTCCTCCACAAGAATTATGTGGGGAGGGCTTTGCTTGTAGATCATGTATAGAGATAAAAATTGCAGAATATATATTTTAATACCTTCATTCAAATTTTAAATGTGGAACAAGCAAATCACACACCCTTTTTGGTGGCAAGTCAAACATTTCTTTCCTGCTCCACTGGGGGACTCAGTGTTTCTAAAGTCCTGACTCCTGCACATCTTGATAAAAGATCATCAAATAAATCATTGCTGTGACTGTGGTTGAATGCCAAGTATCAGTTCAGTCATTTGTCAACCACCTAAATACTGTATTACATTTCCCTCTTGGTTAGTTTCAACTTTACGCAGTTCCTTTTTGTTGTCTGTGGCAGACATTGTCACATTTTCATTCCACATCCTGCAAATCATTTTGTACTTTTGACTGATACACTTGCAGTTCTGTCAGTGATGATTTGGCCTCCTTGGCCTGCTGGATTTTCTATCATATTGCTTTTAAAACTTACTGTAAGTGTTTATAGCTGGTCTGGTAACATTGCTGACTTGCTTCTCATTCATTTGACTAACATTCATTACAGTATTAGAAACTGTTACTGTATAAGTTAATCTGAAGATTTCCGTTAAGGCATTTACATTATTTTATTCGCCCCTCCTGTCGTGACACTGAGATTGAGCATACTTCTGATAGTGATGGTGAAAGCTACACTATAGCTTTATATAAGGAGCTTGGAAATAATAAAACATGTGAACTTCCAATACCTTTTACAGACACTGTAAATAAACTTGCCTTACCTTTGCCCTATGCTTACAGTAATAGGGTGAAAAAATGTTGAGAAATGTGCTAAACAATATGAATATTATAATGTACATGTAACCAAAATAAGCTCAAAGATCCACTCACTGCCGTTCTGAGCTTTCACCTCCTTGTTGATGACACCTCAACAAGCCTTATTCGCTTGAAAAGACCATGAGGAGCTCAAAAAGCTAGAAAGCAGACCTTTCAGTTTAGTTCCCAAAGGTCAAGAATGAACTTCCATGCTCAAATGATGAAAACTGTACAATACCACAAGTTTTAACATGTTCATAAACTTCTGTCCAGAACTTTATGTGTATTCAACCACGTCTGCAGAACTTGAGACACTCTGGTTTGGCAGTCCACATTGTTTAACGTGCATATTAATGAATTTGACATGGGCCTATTAACATACCATGAATGACAATCATGTGAATTCAGGATACTCATTACGTATGTATTACATGAATAGCAGGTGGGGTAATTTGAGTAATTTGCGGCTACATGCAGACACTGGGATGATGGACGGTGTCTGGAGAAGACAAGTTGAGCCGGCCAGTGGATCTACTGCAGAGTAAGGAGAATTTAGGCTCATCATAAAAGATTCCTCCTTGCCTCTTATTTCACTTAGACATTTTTATGTTTTTTTTATTTTCTACCTCATTGCAGCCGTGAGCTGCCTGCTGATTTACACACACTGGCAACGAAGCACAGAGGCCTCAGGAGACGGTGCCCTCTACCCTTCCATTTTTTTCCGCCTTGTTTCTCTAGCCTCTATCGTCCTCTTACTGCCACAACCGTAGCACTCTCCATTCACTGAGCTAGGTCTAACCGAAAAGCTCCCTGCCTACTTGTTCCTCATTCCTAACAAGACATTAATCTGGAGGGGTTGATCATGTGACACACAGAGGGGCTGTTGCCCTGTGCCAAGACACAGAATTCATATAAGGATGGGCGAAGGGCATCATAGACACTAAAGGTATCTTACAACACTCACATTTCATTTCAGAGTTCACAATATGTATATAAAGACGTGTTTTACCATGAATTAAAGAATGTTTGAGAATATATACAAACACATACAGCCAGTGCAAATATTTTATCTTAACAAAAGGCCCTTCATTCTCCATCTGTTTTCAGCTGTATGCGCCAAAGAAAACATGTCTGTCTGAACACACCATATTAATTCAGGAAATCATGAAACAGTTGCCTCAACTTCCCTTTTCCCCCCTCAGGCTCATGTGTTCAAGGCAGATGAGCTGGGTTTCACGCTGATCAGCCCTGATTCCAGGAGACGAGAAGCTGTTGCTTGCCTTGGTACAGTGATCACGCCCGTTCCCAGTAATTGCTACATCCATGCACCCAAAAGGCGACAGACAGCAGGTGGAGGGGAAATAGCAGGTATAAGCCATGCAGAACCGAAGAAAGGAACCGAGGCTGTTGGGTTTGATGAATGACGGATGGCTTTTAAGTCAGCTCATTTCCATCTGTGGCAACTGAGTGACAGAGAAAAATGTTTCAGCCTTGAGTAAAAGTATTTTTTCCACCAGACCGAGGCAGGTGTTAGGATATAAGGTTGGCTTTTGAGCACACACACAAAAAGACACAGGCACACACAGCTACAAGGACAGTTGTAACGTCTGAAAATTTTTTTTTTGGTTGTCAGGTTGTGGAAGTTTTGTGGCCCTCAGTAAATCAGCGCTCAGTATTGGCATGAAATGTGGGAGACCTTGAAAAATGTTCAGAGCGGAGGCGTATGTTATTAACAATTCAATTAACCCAAGGCTTCCTGATCATTTACCTTGCTCCTTCATCGGCCCTAGTAAATGTGATTGTCTTGCATAGCAAGCTACACATCAGTATCACCAGCCAGTGCCAATGTCATATTCTGTTGTTGGTGCATCATTCCTTTAGGTATCATCCCCTTTCTATTGGCAGTGCAGCTGGGCTTCACTGATATTGACTCATCCTGGTTCCACAGAGTTGCAGGCAAAGAGATTTAATATCTCAAGTGGTGCTGAACTCCTATTGCTATTAATGGATTGTGTATAATGTGGCACTTAAAATGCATGAGCAGCCTCTGATTTATCTGTAATTTGCCTCCACTGGAGCATATCTCCCTCAATACTTCCATTTGTTTTTGGCTCTGTGCAGTCTGCTCAGTAAACGAACACTGATTGGGATTTCATATTGTTACATTCGACTTTGACAATTAGTTTCTTTCCAACACATGAAATTGTCCTTTTTTTGTTATTCTGTGTTAATTACACAACAGAGGGAATAGTAAGTCAAGCATGAGATCACTGACATGAGGTGGAGTTTATTTGAGCTGTCGCTGCAGAAAGACATGCTGACTTGGTCTAAGACAGATGGGAATCTCCCAGAGGGGCATTTTCCTTTATCTTATTTTCTACAGTTTTATGTGTCGTACAATAAGCATATTAATTAGACTAAACTGAGCTAAAGCATTGTGGAAATGATGAAAATGTGATTTTATGTGGTACTTTTATGAATGTTTGTGGTCATACCAGCTAAATTCCACCTGAAAACTGAATGATTTTACTTCAGCGCCATGTTTTCACTCTGTTTGATCTCTTTGGGGTCATGCAACATGGAGCAGGGAGCTGTTAGGCAATCGATCTGATGGGTTTAAATGTGTCAGTGCTGTCATGGCAGCAGAGCCGCACTGACAGGCTAGGCTACAGTGGCTCAAGGTTAACAGCCAGTGAGGAGTCAGTATTCCTGGGCAGGTCAGACTAAAAATAAACATAAAATACCCACAATGTATAGGTTTGTGATTGTTGAATTTAACTTCTTAAAAATTGTGAGAAAAACAAATGTTTGTGACATTCCCATGCATTTTCTAGACACATCTCTTAGGGTTACAGCAGACAGTGAAGCAGCTAGTGTTGTATTTCAGGTGTTAAAAATTCAAAATTATTGTAACGTGAAATATAAAACGAATGGTTCACATTTGAGTTGCTACTTTGAAGAAACAACAGAATGCTGAAATGATCATCTGGATATGTTTTATGCAGGCAGACAAGTAACATTTGCACAACAAGCTAAAAATGAATTCATAAAAACACATCAATAGATAGATATTGTTAGAATGTTGTTTGACTGAATGGTAAGACAGGCATTTGCTTTCCTTGTGTGCAAACATGCCCTTAAATCAACAGCCTATGTGTGTTTTCTGGATACTTTAGAGGCATAAACCTCTTCTAAATATCCAGCTACTGCAGCAGTGACAGCCTCAGTATATGTGCTTGAAGGCATCAGGGGAGTGCCGCCGCACACAGTTATGCACTGACAAAGAAGACACATGCATATACTGCATTAGCATATGTGGATGTGCATATACACGCATATATACCCACACATCTTCTTGGAAAATGTCCCACCCACCAGCCAATTTGAGTTTGTGGGCTTTACAACTGTCCAAACTGCTCTGCAGCTCAGAGCTGAGCTAAGGTGACATCACTCCTGTTCTCTGCAACACAAGCCTATTGTCTGTTCTGAATTCATAATGAACATCACAGCCGTTGCAGAGAAACAAAGCTAATCTAATTAGCTGTGCAGATATGTCAGTCTGCCGTCACTTTGTTTAATGGTCATTACCTTTGCATAAGCATTGTGCTCCTCACAGTGGGAGCACGTGTGTGTTCAGCACACACACACACACATATATAGATGTGTTACTGTAGTGAACAGCCTCATACAAACACAAAGCGAAAGAGACAGATAGAAAAGGTGACTTGTCAGTGCAGCTGGCATTTTGTTCAGCTGGGAGCAATGTATCCTGTCCACCTGGTAGCCCCCTCAGACAGGAGCGAGTCCATTGGGATCCCACAGCACCTCCTACCAGCCACACACCTGACAGGGGGGCTGTCTGAAAACTCTGCAGAGACCCTATTACACATCATACTGCTAAGCATTGCAGTAGCCACCAGATGACAAGCAGCCCACATCTTTCACTTTATTAGGAGGGGGGAGTTCAGCCACAGAGAGGAACACTACTGTCACTGCTGAAGATTGCATTGTTACCTGCATATATTTGACAAAATACTCCTTGTGAATGGTGATAACTCATGCTCCTGTTAAACTGGTTTAAGAAGTAAATATGGACAGTTACAGCATATGTTCCTGGAATAAGTGACTATACAAACACATTGATGTAACAACACTGCCATCTTCAGGTAAACTGTTGCTACAACTTTATAGCTGTAGGTATACAAAAGGTATATTTTGTTACTATTTACTGTACATGGTTCAAACTGAAATGCCTCAGTGAGAACATAGTAAGCCATGACTGCTTTTATGAGTAAAATAATTCGGAGCAACTGTATTACCAAAGTGCTGTGTGATGGGGAAACAGAAAAATTTCTTCCTCTCAGGTCCAAACATTTCTGCCAGTAAAATGATGATGATGTTTTCATGTAGAACCAGATGAGCAGCTGAGGTTTTCCTCCTGGCTGGTTCCCACGAGATCAAATGAAGCTGTACTCTCTGCTTTGTTTATTGCCAAATCTTTACTCCGAGGCTCTGGATCTCTACACTCTGAGCTGGAATCACAGAGACAAGAATAGGGGAGGGGTGAATAAATCTTATAATTCAGAAAATGACGCAGAAGGAGCTTTTATATGATCTGTCCCGGAAAATACATCAGTTAGTATATTGGAGTGGAGAGAGTATGGCATTATGATACCTGTCTGAGTCAGAGTCACAGGATATGCTGAGGTCCTTCTGCAGATCTTCTTCAGAGTGGAATCGCCTCAGGCTAGAGCGCTGGACCGCCTGGGCCACAGAGTACTGGGTCCTTCCTTCGGCACAGGCCTGTATCTTGGACACGCTGAGCTGTGACTGCAGGAAAAGATGCAGGCAACTGTCAGACAACAGCAGAGGGTTCTGGAGGACCCTGGAGAGTAAGGACAATGAACAAATTAGATGGCTGTCTATAGGATATTGTTTGTTGATATGAAAACAGCATGAGTCGTGTGTGTTGAAACAGTGATTCACCAGTTTTGTTATGTGTGTGTTGCAGTGTCAAAGTTCATGTGTTTATTGATCTATGAGGTCAGGCTTACTGTTCCAGAAACTTCTGGAGCCCTTTCATCCGCTCAGTGATCTGCTGGGCGTTGTTCAGGCTGAAGAAGGGATTCTTTGGCGGCAGCTCTGGTAGCTGTACCCTGCAAATAAAAACACACCATAAAAAAGACAGGTATCACAGCACTGAATACTATTAACATGAAAACAGAAAGTATGTTGTTTTCGCTCAAATTGCCAGTTCAACATACATTAAAGTGACTTACATCAGCATTGAATTTGCTTGTAGCTTCTGCCTGAGCCATATAAACTCACTGTACCTCCTTCTCACACTTGAGATCTTCTTGGTGAAACACACGCTGTCAGTCTAAAACAGGACACACATATTACAATAGGCTCCACTATTTGATTGTAGAGATAAAAATAACTTGCTTTATCATTTTACTTACATGTAAAGAAATTTCATAGTCTATGTAAGCATGCCAAAAGTCATTCTTTCGTATGCGCGGGTCCCGCACCCAGACACTGACAACCTGCTGCATGGAGAAGGCAAGAGTCACCAAATGCACTGCTGTGAAAAAGGGGAAGTATTTTATTCGCAGTTAGAGGAAGTACAATGACCAACAGGGCAAGTCAGCATAGGAAAATACCACCAAATATCCTTTATTGCTCAGGACAAAAAACAGATTGTTTTTTTTAAAGACTGTAAGCTCATCGTGTCATTTTAAAGGTCAAATTTTAATAACAACTATGAAACTGTTCAAAATCAAATTAGAATTATAGGATAACTTCAGACCTTCACAGCAGTTAGCTTCTTCTCTCATAATACAAATATTCTTGATTTAATCTCAGCAAGATAATGCTGCGCTTAGCATTGTGCCAGTGCTTTTTATTTCAACTTTTATTGTCCAGGAGTAAAGGTTTTAAAAATAAAGTCACAAGAATGAGATAAGCTCCTCCCCATAACGGTCAAATTAAATCAAGAAAACTACATGATGATTACTTAATAGCTCCCATGACATGAGCCAACATAACTATAACAATCTCCTACTACTTATCAGTTAATCACTTATTGACTATAATTTACAACCAGTCAAAACACATCCAATGAATTAGCCACTGTTTTAAAACGCACCATATGTTTAAGTGATGTTCCTACCTCACAATTTAGCACGACAGATGCGACATTAAAAAAACTTCAAGAAAAGCTTCACAAAAGGTTTCATTTATTCACAGAGACTTCACAGATCCATGGTCAACAGTTACACAGTAATTCAGTAGCAGGTGTGTTTTAGGAGGTTTAAGGTTCAGCAGAGTGTCCCATAACAGTCATGGGAGATATGTCAAGTCAGGGCGGTGCCATTAGGATACAGGTATCATATATGTGGACAGGTGTAATTACTGGAAGACAATGCCCAGCACAATTGGACAGTCTAATATTTAAAGTGCTACATTTAACAATCTTATTAGCCACCATAGGTGCACAAACCTTTGTGTGTATATCTCAAAAGATTTACTTTATAATTTGTTTATTATGACCTTTTGAGTAACTTTGCCTGGATTTCACCAAGTGTAAGCACCATATAATATTTTAAAAACTCCACAATATTTCATTCAATACAGAGGAGAATAGAACATTTGGTACTTAGCAGCTGACTGAAAATATGGGGAAATTTTAAAATATTTTTACATCAACCACAAGGGTCATACAGATACATGTAAATGCACATTAAATGCTGTGGCTATAAAACACCTCACGCAATACAAGTTCAAACAACAAAAGTTTGGAGAACAGGTCTACAATCTTCAGCTCTAAATAATAGCTACGTGGACTGTAGGTACGCATCTGACAGCAGTTAGTTCACTCTGCCTACACAGTGTTGCTATACAAGATACAAAGCACACACCAAACAACAAAGATCCTTGTAGCCAAACAGGTCTATAAATACTAAATTACTATATAACAATAAAAACAAAACACATGTCCACAGTGATAGTGTCTGCTTACACAACACCAACATTGCTACAGGTTAGTCTGACCTCAAATCAGCTGCTCTACACAAAGGTTAGTTTTAGTCTCCATCAGTCCCCACAAAGGTACAGAGACCTCGTTGAGCACCGCAGGTACGAGAGCACTTTAAATCCATCCCCGCTGACGATCTTGAGCACCTGCCAGTATGTGAAACTCCACCTGCAGCGGGAATATAATTTCACACAGTGTGCCTCTAAAGTCAGCTGAAGGAGGACACTCGATGGAGGTCAAACTAAGCTTCAGGTGAGATCACAGCTGTGTTATCAGTTCGCCTCTGTACACAATCCCCCCCCACCCCCAAACACACACACAAAACACACACACTTCACTGCTCCTCGTCTCCGCAGTGCCACGTCAGCTTCTGCTCATAGAAGTTGATGACCACCTGGGGACACCTGGCGCTGGCTTCACGAGCCGGCAGCAGGGCCACATCATCGGAGTTCTTCCTGTGGGGGAAACAGACAGGAGAAGGAAGCATTTAAGATGGTGGCCTCCTACTTTTAATGCATGTAAAATGTTGCAGCAACAACACACAGACTCCAGCCAGTTCAAGAAGTAGTAAGTACAGTCAGTCTGTGATTGCTGTAGTTGTAATATCCAATTATTTATAGAATATTCTGACTTAAGCAGAATATGAGATTTCTGAACTTTAAGCCCTCTACCTGTTTCTGGTCCATTACGTTTGTTTATTTTGTACTGTATTTGTTCTAATTCTATTCCATTTTTTTGTCATTTGAAATGTTCTAAGGCATTTCCTTGCCTTATGTAAAGCACTGACTGAGTCTGAAAGGTGCTAATGAATAAATAAAACAAATAAGCTTGCCTTGCCTTATACAGATCAAGCTCCAAAACTCTACACCCTCCACCTCACAACTATACGTCCATCTGACATGGACAAAACAATACATGATTATCATCCAAAATTACATTGCTAATTTCACGTTGTGCTAAACTCAATTGGTCGGCATATGAAAAGGGGGTATGGACACTAGAAATTCCTTTCAACATGGAGCAGAACAGATAGCAAGGCAGTGAAATCAATCAGATGGGAAATGCAGGGTTACATTTGTTGAGACAAACCTATATGTTGCAATAAAAGTTTATTTCTTGCATCAGTGACTGGAGAAGAGGTCCTTGTTGATTACACTTGGACTAAGTGACTGTTACAATGACTTAACTGAAAAAACTGCACTAAGTTATGTCTAGATGGCTTAACAAATGTACTCGTATTTCACCAAAAACATAGTGTTTGAATCATAGAATCACAGATCCTGTCGTGAATGATGTTTCCAAACCAAATGTAAATCAGTTGTTTTGAATGAAAAGAAAAGTATGATCCGTTTGGAGTGCCACATACTATTGATAATGGTACCATAGCGACAGGAAAAAAAACTAACCGTTTAGAATAAGCGAGAGGGTCATCTGAGTGGTCCTATTCAAATGAAACAATAATAAAGAGGGGACCGTGTTTTTTTCACGCAAAGCTGTTGTCTGTCTGAAAGCAGACTCTCCATCTTTCCACACTTCCAGATTGTTTTGTAAAACAATATTTTCTATCAAAAAAGAGCTGTAGCTAGGGGTAATATTCTCCTCCTTCAGAGTCACAGATGACAGTATTCAACCACTTTCACAGGCAGAGTGGTATTAACCAGGCCTCATAAACTGACATTTATGTGTAAAATTGGTGATGATCCCTTTTAAAGCTACCAAATACTTTTACTGTCGTCAGAAATGCTCAATTACTAATCTGAGGAATGCTTTGTCAGGTGGCCAACACCAATGATGTCTAACTTTGTCTTCTTAGTAAGTGATATATTCACATTACATGGTCGTCATAAACCTGACACTATGCTCCGTCATTGTTGCTGTAATTTGAACACGTAGATTGCAGCTTTAAATGTGAACAACTGCAACGTTTTCTATCATACATACCCAACCCCGGGAATCTATTCATGGACAGAGAAAAGAGGAAGCAGCAGAGTTACCATTTGACTAGGAACATGAGCTCTCCCTGTCTGTCTGTGGAGCCGATGATGCATTCAGGCTCGAGGTAAGTGGTGATGTTAGTGGGCTTGTCTGACTGCTCATCGTTTGTCTCGAGGACGTCGTTGTTGCACTGCGCAGTGTGAGCCTGCTGCTGAGACTGCATACAGGACCGCAAAGAGAGTGACAAGGACAGAGGTGCAGCAATTAGAAGAAACCACAAACAAAAACTCTGCATTAGGAGACAGGCTGGTTGTGTTAAAAGAAATCTTACTGAACATGCCTGTACATTGCGAAAAATAAGAAATTTTCACTTTCACTTTCAGGGGCATTGCAAAACCAACCACCTTCATGCGCCATTTAGTTTCATATTCAGCCTTCAAAAGTAGGAACAAAATCTGCCAACATGATCAGATGATTTTACTTGACTGCAGTGCGGCTTTCTAAAATTAAGGGTAACCGTCAACCTACAGCAATGCACTGTATAAAAAGCAGTCTAATAATATGCTGCTTTAGGATAAGGAAGTTATGTGAATAACAAGAATACAAACATAAACTTCCAGACATTCCACCACTGCATTTCTCACATACTCACAATTTCCCTCTCTTGCTCTGTCATTTCTTCTTTGGGAATGAACTCTTCAGTTTCCTCTTCCTCATTCTCCCCTGAGAAATGGGTGCTTCTCAGGAACTCTTCAATGAGTTCAGGGCAGTCCAGATTGTCCTCAGGTTCCCAAGTGTTTTCTGCACTGTAAGGAGGAGAGAGTACACTTTAAAAACATGCACAAACAAAACAACACACATCACACAGTATATGGAAGCAAATTGCTGATACTGCAACACCTCACTCACTCAGTGAAGCCTTTCCACTTCAGGAAGTATTCCACTCTTCCATTGAAGATTCTGCGGCGAATTATTTTTTCCACCACGAACTCCTGCACAACTGTAGTCTCCTCTGTCTTCCTCTGTTTGGCAGTCTGCTTCTTTCTCATCCTGCTATGAATGATAGGTAAATGAAAAACAACCAGCTTTTATTACTGGCAAGCTCATGCACGAGCATATGAAGACAAAAACATAAAGTGTCTATTTCTTTGTTTTAAACTGGACAGTCACAAAATAAACCCTTTCAATCGCCCTTTTGTTGGGATATTTGCGAAATAACATGGCAGTGGTGATCCGTATACTTATTATAGCGCTCCACCTGCCGTTTCATTCGGGAGCACAACACACTACTCTTTCGGTCCAAAAACGCAACACGTTAATCTACACACGTGCATAGTTCATTCAGACAGTTTAGCTAAGAGACTATTGTGCAAACAGTAGCATGAAAACATGAGTGGAAACGTGCCTGAGTGCTGCACGAGACGCTACACTGAACAATATGCACGTACGCTTTCGATGTTTACTTAATCTCGGCGGACAACCTGCTGCGGTGCTGCACTGCTCTGTTTGGAGCTTGTCGCTGGAACCTACATGCACACAGCGCCTTCGATGCTGCTCTGTGCGCGAACGTGTCGGTCTGCGTGTTTACATGAGCGAAACAACTTTTCATGAATTACTTCAAATTAAAGATGGCCGTGGATGCTCGGAGGAAGTGGTTGCCAAGGGAAAAGGTCATGCCAGGAAAACCGGGAGGAGTAGACGGGGACGCGCACGCCGCCGACCAATCACAGAGCAGTCCGCTCGTCCGTCCCTTCCACCCCCTAGTCCAGTGGTCCGCAACAGCCCTGCCACCCATGGGCGTCAGCTGGGTATGGCAAGGGACTGTGTGCATTTGGCATGTTGGGATTGTAGACTGGTTCCAGGTTTCCAGCTGATTTCTTTGATCTTTGGGATCATTGTCAGTGGAAGCAAATATGAAGCCGGATATTTATTTAGATGCCACATAACAGACAAAAGTCATCAGAGTGTAATCAGATTCATGTAGGCCTACGTCCAAGATATAACAAAAACTAAACCTTCTTTGAAATCTCCTTTCAGAAATCTCATCATATGAGCACCTTTCTAGTTGCCAAAATATCGGCTATTAGATGCACGGGATTCACTATTTATATTACATTATAATACATTTTATGGTGTATTATGTTTACATTAAAATTACACATAATTTACTTGTGTGTTTCCATTATATACTACTTTATTCTTCTATTTCTATGTATACTCCTATCGCTTACTATTACTCCTATTTATTTTACATTTATATTAGACATAATTACTAGTTTCAGAGGAAAATATTATTCTTCTATTAGTTTTTACTCCACAACTTCTATTTTACCATTACAGATAGTTCGTTAGTTACTTTGTAGCTGATCATTCTACATATAGTAAAACACATGATCATTATAAAACATGATACATTGTTATAGATTAAATTATCCAACAGTATATAGGCATCTAAAATTAGCTCCACCTTGACAATAAAATGTAGCTAAATGCATCAATGATACTATTCCAAAAATATACATTTGACATTCATACTTTTGATAATTTAGTACAGTTTTAATGCATTTTTACTTAAGTGAGATTCTGAATGTAGAACTTTGCCTTGCAATGTGGTATATTTATATTGTGGTACTGCTACATTTACTTAAGTTAAAGATCTAAAGGCTCCTGTAAATCCGTGGTTTTTCACGGAGGGGATCTTTAATCCACGACCATCTAGACTGCACTAAGCTCACAGAAGAAAAAAAACCTCCAGAGGATTTGATTGACAGCCCGCTTTTAGCCAATGGGAAACCCAAAAGCATCTGATTGGCCAAGTAAGCACCAATAAAAGGCCTTCCTACTGGACAAGTTTATCTTTTTTACTCCACGTTATTCAACATCGTTTTGTAACACACCGCTGGGGGACGCTGCCTGCTTGTATTGAACTGCCAGGTACAGCGGCCCAAAAGCTCAATGCTCCTGCACCCCAGTTAACTAATGAGAATGGATTTATGCTGGAACGCTCATTGCTAAAGGCAGCAGAACAAAAGGTTTTACCAGGAGGTGGGTTCACATTGGAGCTTGCCTGTGCTGCACTGTTGTTCTTGATACCAATTCATCCCCAAGGCAGGATTGTGTAACATTGCACACATTTGTTCATGATATTTACTTTTGAATGCACTGCAACAGCACCATATGAACACAGATAACACAGATCCAGGGATGACTACAGCAAAAGTAGCAGTGCCACAATCCTTATAATTAATACCTCAGTTTCATTGTCAATGAGAAGCCCAGGGGATGTGATTAAAAGGGGTTTCAGTGAAAAGGCTGACAGATGCCCGCATGGAAGATAAATGCGGTGTGTATCGTCTCCAGAAAAGGAGCCCATTGATCTCTGGTCTCAGAGAAAGGACACAGGTCTTATGCAGGTTGCGAATCAATGTACCTATATGCCCCATTCAACTCCCAGTGCAATGGAAAGTTAACAGTGGATAGACTTTTGGTATGATCATCAGGTAATGCAGGTCCTCTATTGATAAAGCAATGGCGGCAAACTGTTGTTTTCTTCTATGATTAATTATTAACACTATGCTGAAGATGTTCTCAACAACTTAACACCATTTACTTTCTTTGCTCTCAGCAGCTTTCGCTTCAAATGGGCACCTCTTTTTACACCAAGTCATTAGAGAAACCTTCTTTCCTTGTCTTCTGAACTGTGATGAGCTTCCACAGTTTTTTCAGTTACATCTTAGAATTAACATCTCGACACATTTTTAGCCTGTGCCAGAGCTTTTATTTTGGTTATCAGGCACCTTTTATAAAGGGTCTTAAAGTTGTCTTTATTAATGGTTAATTAATGGCGCTTTATGGATGAATTAAGCCATTAATAGGAGTTGCCAGGTTGTCAAAGATCCCTATGGCTTTTACCTTTTGTATGCCCTCAAGTCTGCAGTAACAAATGTCAGTCATTTATTAATAAATGGATTGTGGTCCAGGTTTTCTGCTGAAGGAGGATAAAAACCAGCCAGAGAGATCTTTTTACAACCTAGAATCCCAAACATTATTCTTATTAATAACTTTTAACTGATCTAAGCATTATTTATTAACCCTTAAGAAAGTAATTAGTTACAATGTAAATATAATGTATAAAGAATTCTTTATTAGAAAGTGGTACCATATATTTCTTTTTACAGTTCTTCACAACAGAACCATGTCAACCAAACATTACATTTTTATCTACAGTGGGTTAAAGTATGCTTTCCCAGTGAGTATCCAAGATGTGTGTTGCTTATCTGCTGTGTGAATTGCTGTTGCCCTCTGACCCCCTCCTGTCGGCTCTTTTGGGGTTTTAGTACTAGTTGCTATAGTAACCGAACAGCTAACATGGTTGAGCAGTCACTGCAGGCGCAGGAATGGCAGTAATGTGCATAGTGAGGTCCTGTCTAGATTTACTGCTCTACTACAGTATGGATCACTTTGGGTTTTCTTAACCAAACACTGGAAAGCCAGTTGGTCATTTCAGCTGGGTAACCCAACTTGTCCAAAAACACAGGACAATCATTTCATTCACAATTTTTTTTCTCTGGATGGACTGACACTGACTGTATAGACTGGAAATGTCACTTGCTGCCACTGAACTGACAGTTATATGTCATGGTTCTTAACAACTAGGCCACCAGGACACCCAATTTTTACAGTCACATCTCACTGACCTAGAAAAACCTGTATAATCATCTGTTTCAACTATTGCGGAACCATGAAAACAATGAAATGACAACCTGGACTGTAGCAGTTAGAAGGGAATTAGAGAAATACATGCAATGTTTTTTTATTTAGTGTAATTTTTATAACACATTTCATGTCTTGCATGTGTTTGTGGCCTAAATGACTCAACAACAGGCAATGATGAAATGATTTGAAGCCTATTTTTGTGCTTAAAACAGAACTGATTGAACCCAAGACGGACCAGGGCACTAAAAATGAAATACAGATGTTGATAAAATGGCATGCTTCAGTGTACAGGGTGAAAAGATATATCACGTTGTGCTGTCATCCCTTAAATCTGCTCAGCTCCCTCCCAGGCAAGCACATTCCTGGGGCCCACTGTGAATGTAGCCCTCATACAGATGGGCCTTGTGAGCCACCCTGTCAGAGCAGAAATGAGTCCAGATGGCTGGATCCTGCTGTGAAGGGCTGTGGATGGAGTGAGTAGTGGTCTGTATGGCTCAGGCCAAGCCTGACTGGATCCTTTTCACGCAGAGGGCCCCTAGCGTTCCCTCAGTACCACCTCGAGGCTCTCGGGTTACAGCCAGGGCGAGGACATTCGGTCCTGTTATTCTTACCGAGCGTTAATCTGGTTGTACAAAGAGTGGTGTTCAGCAAAACAGAAATAATGATGGCTGGTCTTTGGGGGGGTGGGGTGCAGGTGTGATTTACATGAGCTGAC